GGACCCTGTGTGACTTGTTGTTTGTGATTTATGAAATCATTAGAAGTGTTCTGATTCTTGATGTTTCTTGTGAAGGATCCACCTGACCTGGAGAAGGAACTTGAGGGTGTATCTTTGGATAAGACCATTTTTATAAAATGAATAATCCATTCTAATAAAGTTAGTCTGTGTTTAAGGACTTTGTGGCCATTCAGCCTCCAAAGACTTTTGGCTGCTCCACAATAATCTCTTACTGTCTGGCCAGTTACAGCACAATGTTTCCAGTTCTCTCAGACAAGCGGACCCTTCAGCACACAGTCTAGAGCAGGGTTCCTCAAATCTTGCCCTGGAGGGCCAATGTGTTGCAGAGTTTAGCTCCAACCCTGATCAAATTCAGCTACCTGTGATTTTTTTTCTAATGATCTGGAAGACATTGATTAGCATGCTCGGGTGTGTTTGATTGGGGTTAGAGCTGAACTCTGCAGGAAAATGGATCTTGTGGGCCAGATTTGAGGATTCCTTCCTGGTCTAGATTGTGACTGATCATGTGAGGCAGTAGTTTTCCCTATTTGACCATGCTGAAGAATCTTCACGTTTGTCTTTGGAAATTATGTTTGAGGTCAAATGTTGTGCTCTCTTGAGTCATGCTCATAACTTGGTTTTGTATAACAGATTATTCACAAGATGATATTAACATTGTGGTATTAGGTTTATGGTCCAGAAGCTACACCGAAGGAGATGCTAGATGGTCAAATTTCTCTGATCTTAATGAACGGCGTCACCAATGCTAGGAAGACCTGCAAACTATTTTATTTAAGTTTTGTATATTTTGTTGTATTGATGGACTCAAGTTTCTGTTGTAATTGACAATGTCACAAATATTGTCAATGGCGCTTGTCAGTGTGTTAATGCTCAAACACATTTTAATTTGAGCAAGTTAAAATTGAGGAAAAAAAGGTATTTGAATGAACGTATTGAAGTATCGTGCCCTGAATGAGTTTCCCAAAGGTCAGGAATGGGAAGTAGGGTCAGTAAATTAAGGTCCGTTTTGATCAGACCAACCATGTAAAATAGAGTCTGTGTGAACGCAGAAGAAGCAAACAGAAGTAACGTTGAATTTGTTTAAGAGTTGCATCAAAAATAAAAAGGGCAGGGACTATCCTTTCTATCCAATGGTTCTGGCCATTGGTTGTTAATTGAATGGAGGCGGATCTGAATGTCTGACATTTTGATGAATACTTACAAGGTCAAATGTATAAAAGCATGCATCAATGATTTGTTCTCTAGATCATTAAGATGCACTTACAAAACCCAAAGCATGAATTTCCATATTGTGCCAACTTTAAAAAGTGATTTTTATTTTTGCAAAATTCTTATTCAAGCTTTGTCCTGATTGTGTTTTATTGTATTGGTCCAGAGACTCATCCAGGCATCTTGCCTTGTTCCCTCAACATGATCTTCAGTAGTCTGGATGGTCTTGTCTTCACCCAGATGTGCCTTTTTAAAAACCCAGATGTGAGCTTTTTAAAGAGGTACTGTAATGTCAGTGTTAAACAACCACTGTTTTTCAGGAGTGTTTCACTTAAAAAAAAAAAAAAAAAATGTTGGTCTTCTCTTTAGACTGGTGCACAGAGTACGTCTTGCCATAGCTCGAAGTCTGATCTTGAAGGTAATGGTTGGGGGGGGGGGGGTTGGCAGTCTGTTGTTTGTCTGGCTGATGCTTAACTTTCTGGTTCCCTGTTAGATGATTCCACTTTGTGATATAAGCTCTGCAGTGATGGATGTACACCAGGTTTTCAATTTGGGTCTCATTTTTGAAATCTACAATGAGAACCTCCACAACTTGCTAGAACAGCATTCAGACAATGCTTCACAGAGAACCAACCTCCGTCTGTGTCAGGATGTCAAAGGGAACTCCATCAAAGGTAAAGGAGAATTTGTTCTGTAATTTACAATTTCTGTCATTAAATTTTCATATACATTTCTCCTTTATGTATGCATTTGACAGGATTTTATCCAAAGTGACTTCCATTCCGTTCAAGTTATGCATTTTATCAGTTCATGTGTTCCCTGAGATTCAAACCCATGACCTTGGTGTTGCTAAAACCATATGCTGTTTGAGCGAGAGGAGATTACACTGACACATTGCAATATTTCTTCATTCGATAACTATAATAGCATTTCAAAGGCGTTTCAGTCAACTGATTCGAGGAAACTGATGTGCGGTGTCAGATTGTCTTTGCTCATAACTTTTATTTATTTTAATAATTAGATCTGAGATGGGTACAGGTGAGCAGTGCTGATGAAGCCTAAAAAGTGATGAAACTGGGCAAAAGGAACCAGCGCATCTCGAACTAAACTGGAACCCAAGCTCTCCAGCAGGAGGTACTCTACACAATTTCTGTAACTTCCTGTTTATCCATTTTAACGCAGTGGTTGTATGCATATGTTCTGACGTCAGAACTAACTAAACTAAACCTGGCCTGCTGGTTATTTCTGAGTGCATTGATGCGCTTTCCCAGGATGAGTAGAGATGTGTTGATGTTTCCAGCCTCTGAGACGTTCACCTTTTATTTAGTTTCGCACAGGGCTCCAATCCAGCCAGATCACAGTGTCAACCTTGAACCAGAGTAAATACTTTAACAAACCATTCTGAAACCCAACACTAACAACCTGCGGAGAGGTCAAATCAGTGTTCACAGACTCACTTGCTGACTGACTCCACTCTGGGTTTTCCCACATCTTCCAACTTCAGGACCTGGACAGAAAATACTGTGGCTAAAAATCAGGCAAAGAGGACATGAAGTCGGAATAACATGTGCATACAACACCCACTGTGTTAAAATGGATAAACAGGAAGTTACAGAATTTGTATAGAGTACCTCCTGCTGGAGAGCTTGGGTTCCAGGTTAGGTTGAGTTTAGTGTTGGAGATGCGCTGGTTCCTTTTGCCCATTTTCATCACCTTTTAAGGCTTCATCCGCACTGGTCACTTGCACCCATCTAAGAAATTAACAAAAACCTATGAGCAAAGACTATCTGACACGGCACATCAGTTTCCTCAAATCAACTGGCTGGAGGACACCATTGTGGATGCTGAGGAAGAGGAGAAAGAGACTGCTGCTCGATAATGTTTGAGGTGAGATCTGGCACCTTGCACCATAAGTCGCATGGTAATTTTAGTTTTTGTTCTAATCAGCCGTAACTCTAAGTGCACAAGACTTATTTGAACTTTTATTTGTTTTTCATCCACTTGGGACACAAATCGGGTATACTTTTTTTTTTTTTTTTTTTTTTTGCGCATGGTTTATGTTTGCCTAACACTGAGGTTTTTGCATCAATATAGCTGTTTTGTGTTTGTATGTAAAGGCCCAACTGCAGTGTTTATATAGAGGCACTTCGGCAGCAGTTGAGGAAGGAGAAAGCTGAACACTCTCGAGGCACATGTTGAAGATTTCTGAGCTGGTTTCTCAGATGCAGGAAGATTACAGGTCGGATCACAGGCCCCTGTGCTCAATTATGTGTAATTTTAAGCAAATTACAGTTCATGATATAACCAAGACTGCTTTCCATGTCTTTATTTTAGTGAGTGCATTTCCAGACAGAGGGAACTGATTGAGGAATGGTGTGAACTGCGACTGGAGATTCTCAAACCTGGTGGGAACAACCGCTGGAATCAGACTGGGATGCCCAGGCTGCCCAACCCTGCTTGGGGACCTCCAACCCTAGAGTTTCTGTGACACTGACAGCTGATTCGGAGTTTCACTGAGCTGTTCTGAATTTTTTTTTTTTTTCCCGCAGAAACCGTTTCGGCAGAGAAGAATTGGTTACCCTCGGTTTCAGCAGGGAAGTTTAGCGTAAAGTGCTAGTAATTTGTGCTATCCTGTGCTTTGCCAAGGAAGGTTAACAATAGTTGATCTGCGTTAACAAGCGTACCCTCTGTTGATCAGAGACGTTTTGATTGTGTGGTAACAAAGAAACTCTCAATGTTTGGAAAGAATGCTAGACTATCCCCACAACTGGGAAAAAGGTGGTCTCGCGACTCCTTTGTGGTCAGATAGCGAATTCAAATCACTGTTAGGAGTGCAAATGAGCCTAAGTCACTGAGAAAGTTAGACAAGAACTAACTCAGAAATATGAAATCCATCCAGACAAGACTTGGTCTGTAGATGAGTGTAAAAAGGTACTAGGAGCATGTATTCGCAAGAACAATGTGAAAGGCATTATCTGCTACCACAGAGCATTTGGTTTAGCGCTAGCTACACAACAGTCTCAGCATAACTCGGAGCTAGAGGAACAGAACGAAGAGCTCCATACTAGAGTATCCTCTCTGACTAAGAAATTGAACCGCAACGAAGCTGCAGCAAAAACTGATGTGGAAGTTCGTCGGCCTGATAACAATTATCCTGACTTGCAAGCTTTCTTTGAAACCTATGTAGCCATCCAATCAGTAACTGATGTGCCTGTACCATTCAGTGAAGGTATGTGGCGCTAGGAGAAGATCTCCGGGAATTGAAAGTGTTCCGCCCAACTTTTCTGTTGTCCAAGTACAAATTGTTGCCAAAGCGCTATGTAGGACCTAAAGATATAGAGACTATCCCAGAGCTTACCCTCAGCACGCACAAATTTGTCTGAATTTAGAAGAGCATTGATCAGCAAAATGCGTCTCTACGACATATCTCTTGCTGAAGTCACCCAGCTAATATCCCAAATCTTGACCGAGTCCGAATTCAGGGATTTTTGAAAGTGCTGTAAATAACTCTGAGTTTCAACATGCCAGCAAAGATGAATTGAGAGAGGGAGTTCTGAGACTGTTAAAGAACATTGTTGGACCAAAAGTGTATTGGTCAAAGGTCACTAGTTGTGTACAGCAGAAGGATGAAACTGAGTACACTGAAAGTTTTTGTCAGTCAGCTGCAGCATACAGTGGAATAACTGACACTCCAGAGAAGGTACTGGATCATAAAGGACCACTAGTTCGAACATGGTTTGATGGCCTTTTATCTGAGTACAGATCTGCCATGCCATTCTTAGATCTTACATGGTCCACTGGAAGCCTGCAAAACAACTTGGACAGGTTGGCTACTTGGGAAAGAGACTCTGATGTTAAAGCCAGAGTAAAGATTGCAGCAGCATTGCAGGTCAATAACCAACATTATTATTATTATTAAGGAGAATAGATAACCGACAGAAACGTAAAACTCCTAAGAGGGAGGGCAGTTGTCATTACTGTGGTAAACCTGGACACTGGATGAAAGTGTAGGAAAAGCAAGAAGACATTAGGAGAAATTAACCGCTTTACTCAGCTCCTACTCAGTCTAATTACTACTCTGAAGCAGCCCCTCCTCACTTCACCAAACCGTTGGAGCAGCTTGCTCGGGTGTTAACTGTTAGGGCTGTGAGTGCTTAATTTCCCCAGTAATGTACAACAAAGATGAAAGATTCTTCGTAAATAAAACTACAGGAAGGTGACTGCCACTTCCTTCCATTGGGAGAACACTAGTTAAGTACACTCAAAGATATACTACAGCACACTCCAGTCACTCACCTATCCTCTTTGGGTTATGATGTTTGTTATGACTGATGTTCCATTGGAGGATGGAGATGTCGCACAGTAAAGTTTGCACACCAACTACAAACTTTGGGACCGACTAGAACACGCACGGCCCAGGGAAGAACCGAAGTGCAACAGGCCTCGGGGGCCAACCCTGTGGTGAAGACTTCCTCATAGGTTTCCCCGATCAGTAGTTTTATCCCCACCTCACTGGTCCATAGGTGTCAAATTACTTAACTAGATTGAGAAAAAGACTATATGATCACCAGAAGTCTAAAAATGTATATGCATGAATTCTGCTGTTTCGTTGTTTTCTTGTGTTGCAGGTATGTGTACATGCCATGTCATCTTCATAAGCGACATCCTGGTGTAACGCATCAGCTCAGACATCCATGTCAAGCTTCATGAGGACAAAGAGTCATCCGAGTAAATCTATGTGGGAAATGGACTACAGAAAACAGACTTCACAACTATTCAGGCACCATGGACTTCAGGACTTCCACTATTATGCTACATGGTTTTCTGTGTTATGTAGTTTCTACGACATGTTACCATCCGTGTCATATGTGTCAACAGTTAGGTCTAAAAGTTATTTTTAGAACCGTAAGTAAATCAAGGACAAGACACTGAATAAGTTATATGGGCCTGTAACTTTTTCATGTTACATGAATGCAAGCGGGGGCTTGTTTACAAACATAGGCTATACAATGGACTCGTGGAGGTTTAAATTTGTATTATGCGAGTTATTAGAACTCTCAAAGGGGGGGGGGACTGTGGGATTACAAATGTAAGAATGTTTAAAATATGCTGATCCTATGTTCTGACATAGCATCACATGAAAAACTAAGGTGAAGTACATTGTATTTAGCATTTAAGGTAAATATGATGACATCAGACAAATTATTCTCTTAAGCAAAGTTTGTAGCAAGAGGTTTCTGTTCTCTTATTGTTAGTCAAATGAACCATCTTACTGAGACTATCACCTTTTGTTTGTAATGCCCCAGTCTTTGAGTAGTTATGCTGATTGGATTAGGACTGGTGAAATGGGGCAGGTTGCTATACCTGAATACTTCGTTTAAGGTTGTCCCCCAGGTGCTTTGTCTCCATTTCTAAGCACTTCCTCCCTAAATGTATATAAACTACAATGTATCACTGCCTTAGTTAGACTTGGATGACTGCAGCATGCACAGCGAGTCCTCAATAAAGAGTAACTTCTGTATGAAAGATATCCCAACGTCTCTGCTTCGACGAGGAAAAAGTTTCATACAGTAGCACAGCATTTTTGAATGATTGTCTTCATGAATTTGTCTGCTTCCATATTGCATGTTTCCTCTCACTTGTAAAATATGCTAGCAGTTATTTCTTCTAGTTCTTTAAAAGCAGTTCTTCATGCGTTTCTGCTCGCATATTTTTAAATCTGCTTCATTGAGGTTCCAAATAATGGCTCATTGGCTTCGATATAACACCTAGAA